AGTCTAATTTTTAGTTAAACGAGCTCACATGCATCAGAGCATCAAACATTTTTCATATTGTTCAGGGTTTTTGCACTTATGATCACAACACATGGGGTCCTCGTCTGCTAGTTAAGTCTTTGTGTTTATCTGCTGAGTCAACCCCAAAGATGGTCTTTACTGCTACAATCCACTTTGTGTCCTTGTGAGGGGACTTGTCTGATTAGGCGTTGGCTAATTTGGTCTGACGAGCCAGGCTTTTAAGTCACACGGCATCATGCATGAGGCCTGGTTAAAAGCTGATGGATGGATGAGACTGTCGAAAAGGCGAAACGCTACTGATGGGACTCTGGCTTCCCGGCACGAGTGGACACCATCTAGGGCAGTTGTTCCCAACCTGTGGGTCGAGACCATCATATGAGGTCGCAAAATAAATCCGGAGATGAGTCCTGAGATGATTAATGGGATAGCACAGAATCCAAAACATATTTTACTAGACAAATTATGTTCATACATATAGACAATGATTGCTAAATAGTCTATCCATTTATTTAGAAAAATTCAAGATACTGCTGTGTTTTAAGGGGGATACAAGTCATTTCCTGGTGGAACAAAATACAGGTTTAGGCCATGATGGCAGTGATTTCACCTTATTGCTGCCATTTATTAGTTGGTGGCCACATATTGTAAAGACAAAGTGACAAAATATTAAGCATCTACTTTATTTAAATCATTCTGCTCTAGGATATAAGCATTTTTAGATTTCTTTACCACCACAAATGCCATCAAAATTCATGTATTGTTCAAAGCATCATAAATACAAAGCACACTAATCAAACAACTATGGATTCTTTAGTACTGCTGAATCAAGTCTTGGTCGAATCCATTCCCTGCTGATACGGTAACACTACCAAGGTGGATATATCCAGCGGAAATCACAAGATGGAGAAGCAGCTAAAGCAGAGACATAGATAAGTGACAAAAAAAGCAGAGTAGTCAGATATTAATCGAGACATTTTAACTTTTTCATGAGAACGTTTGCCAGCTGCAAGGCGCTCTGCTGATGTTTAGCCTAAGGCTATGAGAGACAGGAAGGGATGTTACGCTATCATAGCGTTTGATCACCGGCATCACGGGAACACAGGTATCAGAGAGAGACTCATATCTCGACAGCTGTTTAGACTCTGTCGTGGGGCTTATTTAGATATTGGTGTAAATGGGATACAGAATATTTACCTCTGAAGATGTAAGCCAAGCTCTTTTTCCCTTTAAATCACTTTCAGAAGTCATGTATTGTACTGTCAGAGCAGTTCTTTGGAACTAAATCGACAGTCCAGGCAAATAAACATGTGTGTCAACAAGCAAAATATTATTCTCCACAGCTGTGTCATTGTGTTAAATGTACGTTAATGGGCATCACAGATTACAATTACTTGGCCCGCACATAATGGAAGTCAAATCAATGTATGGATCCTGCCCCCTACTGTCAATGATGAAAATGACATCAATAATCAATTAGTGGGTGTTCAGTGCTGAGGCCCTGCAGGCTGACAACTATCAAAAAAAATATGGTCTATCATTTAGATCCTTTTCAGGCAGAGAATTTGCCGCCCAGGCACCAAATAGCCTGCAATTATAGTACAGACATTACAATATGTTTTTGGTTTGTAATTTACTTTTATTATCATAATAATGTTTTATCTGGACATTTTCTGTGTGTGTGTTAACTGTTTATTCTGTTTAAGGAGTGCAATAAGTAGAGAAGCTTCTTTCAGTGGATCTTCAGTTCCACTGATTTTACACCCCACGTTCCCTTGTCATTCCCTCTCTGTCTCATGGAAAGAAGTCTTTAGGATCTGTCATGACCAGCCACCTCCTGTTGTATGCAGGGAACACAGCAACCTCTTCTGGACAAAAGGGAAAGTAGCAGGGAGTATAGTGAACCCACATAACAGTAGTGAGTAACACCTGCAATCACTATTAGTGTGACAAAACTAGGCATGCAGAAATTATGACAACGCTTCAGTAATTTAAATTGCCTTTTACTGTCATTACTGTATTGTCTGCTAAACAGTTGAGTTTGAAATCGAGCTATTGACTCTCACTGACATCTCAGAGGAAATGTTAGAATCCCAAATGTCTGGGATCACATCTAGACAGATAACTCACTAGTAATTTGACTTGTGAAAAATCATATTATTGCCTGGGGAAGCGTTAAAAAGTATTCCATAGTCAATGTATCTGATTAGTTTGCGTTGATGGTACACTGGTGAGCTAATCAGGCCAAAGGGATCAATGGAGCGACTGTCACGCTGCCTTGCATTCCTTCTATCTTCGGATAACTACAATGTAAATGACTGGGTACTAAAGGAAACCCTACTGGGACGCATACTAAACTCTGCCTGTGCTGCATTGTGCACATGGGAATCTCCACAGACACTTAGCCAGTTCTTAATCAGTAGTGTGCGAAAAATAGGTCCCTATTACACAGCCCTCTCTGAGTCTCTTATCATCATATTTGTCAGAGCTGCTTTATCCATTTCCAGATCAGTTTCCTCAGACTGTAAACTTTACAGCCCTTGTAGCAAATCCTTCTGGTACGATCCTTATTGTTGCTGATAGTCTCTGAACCTCTTTCTTCCTTCTCTCTCTCTCTCTCTCTCTCTCTCTCTCTCTCTCTCTCTCTCTCTCTCTCTCTCTCTCAGGCAGTAACAGCTTCGAGGCCACCAGATGCCCTCCCAGCCAATTTGTCTTGTCCCTTTCACAGACAAACTACTTGGCAAACAAAAGGTGGTGGCATGTCCTGTCGAGTACACCTGTAAATGCTTTACAGCCACAGTTCCATAGCTAAGTGGCGAATTATAAAAGGATCACAAAAGAGTTCTGATGAGGGATAAAATGAAGGAGGAGGAGGAAGTTGTGGTCCTATAGCATCATAGTCCCACTGATAAAACTGCCTGAAGACACATTAAGAGCAGACTAATTTTAATTTTCTTGATTAATTGTTTAATTCATTAATTGTTTGGTCTATAAAATGTCAGAAAAGAATGAAAAATGCCCATCACGGTTTCCCAGAGCCCAAAGAGACATCCTCAAATGTCCCGTTTGTCCAATCAACTGTTGAAAACCCCAAAATATTCAATTTTCTATTATAGAAACATCCTTTACTGAATACTGTAATTTAAAAATACTATTATTAATGCATTTGTGTGTAAGTGTTTTACTGTTGTAGTTGGTTGAGACAGAACAAATTTGAACTTTTTATGCTGTCTTGTAGTTATAAAAATGTATCTAATCTTATATTTCCCTCTGAACTGTAGTGAAGAAGAAGTACAAAGTAGCGTACAAGTTTGTACCTAAATACAGTTCTTGAATACAGCTATTTCTAAATGAGTGATTAATTGACTGATTGTTTCAATCCCACTGTAGATACATTTAGGAGGAGCGTGGATGGTTTGGAATTTCTGCAATTTAATGCAATCCAATACAACTCCGTCACAAGCTATGGCCTGCAAACTTACAACAGTTGAATCAATGCCTCGCTGACAGTCTTTGCAAAAACAGAACATGATAAGCTTCTTGAAGGTAGTGTTTCTTGCAGGACTTTTGTAATGGATTGCATTATGTTGTACAGGTGTTGCTGTTGTTGCATGTGAACCCCTTACTTTTTGGAAATTGGGAACAACAGAGGAAGAAAGAGAATGCTTCTTTTGATGTTTGTGCATGCTGTCTCCTGCCTCTGCATCTGTGAAAATGTGTCCCATCACCTGAAGATGTGTTCAGTTAAATGGGTGTGTGTGTGTGTGTGTGTGTGTGTGTGTGTGTGTGTGTGTGTGTGTGTGTGAGCCTGTCTGTGCACAGGCCAAGAAAACAGAGAGCCCCTGACTCCTTATCTTGACAAAGTTGGTTAATTAACGACAGAGCCTATTAAAGGGAGAATATTCAGCCAGTGATGAATGGCTTTAATAACAGGGCCATGTTCTCTCTAACAGAGACAGATCCTCCCGCCAACATCTCCCTGCCCACCAGATAAAACTACCCAGACTCCCATCTCACCACCCTCTTCATCTTGCCTTTTCCCATCGGCAGTCTTGCTCCTCTATTTTCTGTCTTTGTTTTCTTTTTCACTCACTTTAAAAAAAAAAAAATTGCTTTTCTCTCAAAGATTTTTATCTTTTTGTCTGTTTTTGACGCAGTTTGTGTTTGTAGTTTCACAGTTTAGTCACATCAAAATAGTCACATCAGAGAGACTTACATTTTATTCATGTGTTAACAAAAGCATACTGTGTACTTTCCACAAAAATACAAGCATGTATAGCATTTGTAATAAGTAAGCACCACCTTATCGTCTACCTGCATGAATGTTCGTGTTTTTGTAGGATGTGTTTGTGCATGTTTGTCTTGTAAAACATCGTTAGCCTCTTTGTGTAGGGGCCATGCAAATTGGACAGTTAAGAAGCGGCAGGGCCAATTTATGTTCCTGTGCAGCCCTTTAACAGGGGCTGTGCTACTGTTTTATGTGTCCTGGTGGGGTTGGGGGCAAGGTCTTACCACAGGGGTCACATTCATCACAGCCCCGTATTGTGAGGTCGAGATGTCTGTCCTCATTAGAATAGGCTGCTTCTGAAAGTGCATTCAAATGTACAAGAGTAAAGCAACCACTCCTCCATGTACAGAATCAGAACTGTGATAGTATTTCTGTTCTAGGTACTTGGTAGATATATGAGCAGATTTTACATATTCACACATACTTTCTCACTTAGAGAGATTTAGCCATGTAAATAGTTTTATTTGTCCAGGACAAATAAAAACCAAACTATATGCATGGCATAATATTAGCAAATGTCACTTTTATTAAATGTGAAATCCCAGTTTGTGGCAAGGGAAGGAGCTACTACCCAGTACTTTTAATAAGTTTAGAAGAAAAGGAAACCAATATTTTAAGGGGGAAAAAATAAAAGGAAATGTGTGAAGGATAACAATGAAATATATGTTTTTGTTTGCTTGTGTGTACTTTTCAGACTCAGAAAGGCCTGGATCCCAAGAATGGACAAAGCCAGATGGCACGAAAAATTGGGCTGCTGCAGTTTGGCTTTAGATTTGGACACACACACATACACTTTACACACCCAGTTCCTCTCCAAAGGGACCTTTGTACAGAGGTTGTAGCATCGGGCGCTCTCTCACAGGACCAAAGGCAGCAAGTCCATTAAATACACATGAGAGTCTAATTAGGGTCCCCCTCGTGTGGCGGGCTTGGAGGTAGGAGTCATTGGGGAATGACACTGCCAGGACCCTGAAACTCGGAGAACACACTCTGCAAATTAATAGAGAATGACCAAGAAGTACCTCTGTGACTGACTGGGACCTCTGCTTCCTTGGAGGCAAAAATGTTCAGTGCTGATTGCTCTCATTAAATTTGTTATAGTGATATAATTATGAAAATATGTCTGGAAAATGGGATGACTCTCGGTGTGTGGTTAGTTTGCATACTATGGTAAATTTGATATGAATGTTTAATATTTATATGGTTCATGTGACCTTTAAGTGAGACCAGGGAGAAGGTATTGTTCAGTATGCGTTTTAGTTTGTGGCCTCATTTTACCCAATTTCTCTGGTAATTCCAACCCATTAAACATCTCTGTTGTGGTCTTTAAATGAATGATAGTCAACCATCCTGAACAAGATTAACATAACTGATCATTTTGCTAATTTGTTCTGAATTCAAGCAGGAAAAGGGGACTCAATGATATTTCCCATTATAATTAGGTTGATAATAACATTGGCTGAATTATTGCATTTTTGTTATTCAGGAGGAAAGTCTTTCCTCTGGTGCGTGTCAGATGAGATATTAGTGCGGACATAATTCTTATTCTGGCAGCAGCATGGTGACTGATATTATTTAAATTACACCTCCTTGGGCAAAGTATTCGGAAATACTTTGCAGATGGGAATTCATCACAAAATGGTGTTGAGAAAATGAGGGGCATCAGGGCTTGATTACACTGACAAAAATGTCTTTTTTTTAGAGCGAAATGACATTAACGTTAACAACTGACTGAGGTGTGCAGTACACTGAAAACTGGCCACATCCTCCCATAATAGACGTATTTTACCACATCTAATTAATAATGTAATGTAGACATATAGATAGATATAGATAGAGAGAGAGAAAGAGAGAGAGCGCATTGAACCTTCTTCCAGCTAACTTCACAGTCTCTCACATGCCTTCTGGTTAACTGTAGTCTTTGCCACTCTCCCATAAAGCTCAGTCTCTCCACTGTCAACATCTAAAGCTTGTAACTCCTTCAGAACTGTTGTAGGTCTGCTGGTGACCTACCTCACTAGTCTCCTTGCACACTCACTCAGTTTTTGAGGACGGCCTGCACACGGTAGATTTACAGCTGTGCCACGCTCTTTCTATTTCTCAATCTCTGATTTAACTGCAAGGGATGATCAGTGACATGGAGTACTCTCCTTTTCTACATGGTGTTGGTTTTTCCAATGTACTAACTCACTTAAAAATGTATCTTCCCCATTGGTGTATTTAAACTACAATCGAGTGAAACCCATTGACTACACACAGATGATCCCCACTTAACTAATGACGTGGCTTTTAAAACCAACTGGCAGCACCAGTGATGATTTATTAACATGTTTATTATTAAAGGGGGTAAATACTTATGCAAACATGTTTTGTATTTTATATTTATAATCAAATTAAATCACTTTGTAGAGTATGTATTTTCACTTTGACTTTAAGAATCTTTTCTTTGTTGATCAGTGCTAGAAAAGCCACATTATATCCACTTTGACTCAGTGTTGTAATTTATTTTCATTAAAAAATGAAAACTTCCAAGAGGGATGGATAATTTTTTATAGACACTATAGATATATATATAGATTGACAGATACAACATGGCTCACCTGTGCAAGTTGGTGTTGTGTTTTGTATCTGTGAACTCCAGCAGCCTCCCACACTCCTCTCCCCACACTGCGCAACTCTGCTTTGTGGTCTCCTCTGCTGTGACAGCTTTGGCCTTTAAGCTCGGCACTGTTATCACTCGGGCTTCACATTTTAACAAGAGCGTCATTAACGTCATCTTGCTGAGAGTTCTGTCACAGTGACTGACAACTGTTTTGACACTCTCTACCTCGTCTACTGCACACACACATGCAGTTGGAGGGGTGACTTACAATAATGCAATACTAAAAATGTCAGCGGCTCCATTTAACTTTATTGGTTTTAAAGCCAGTGGCTAAGGCTTTTTTTATGGCCCACTTTCTTAAATATCTTACAATGAGATAGTGCAGTCTAAATTGTATTATACATTATAAACTTCTACAAGTATATGGCAGCAGCTACACAGGAAATGTGAAGCACACACTTTATGGCACACAATTCAATGTAAATGCATGTAGCGATAATCTAATTATCCTCATTTGTGGACCACTGTATGCTCACACAGATGGGCAATGACCATGTTGGCCAAATGGCCTTCTGTCTCAAACATAACAGTCCCTTTCTGTTTACCTTTAAAATGCCAATATATCTGACACATGCCGCTTCTGAGCATAGCTGTGAACTGCACATTCAGTGAACTGTAACCCCACATTTCTGGCCAGAAAGCCATAATCCAACACCATCCCAAACCTTTTGGTTTCTAATAGGCCTACTGTTCTATTATTATTATACCATATCTGAAATTACAGTGTAATGGGGTGCTGTTGTTTTTTTTTTTACATAAACCTGCCATTCTCAGAAGATTACAGCCACTTCGGAGGAAAGTTTATGTGTCTAGGTAGTTTTGCACTTTTTGTAATAAATGTTTTATCTCTTGTTTTCTTTTATGTACTGTATGATTGTAAGTCTGTCCAGCAGTACCCACCAATGAATAAGGCTATAGAATCTCATTTAACCCTGAATATATCTGCCTTGTGAAAAAGAATGGTAAAACAAGATTGTCATCCATAATCCCTTAAAAACAATCCCAAAAGCTGGCTTCATCCCATTTCACCAACATATTTACCATTTTAATATGAAGAGAACTCAGATTCCCAAAGAACCCGAAATGAACGGCATTTTGGATTATCGTGTAATGTTTCCAACATCAGATGGAGCAGGGAAAAATGAATTCTGAATATTTCATAATGCGTTGTGCCATCTTAGTTGAGGAAATTATTTAGGGACAGCATGCTCATTTTCAGAATGGATAAAGGGTCATTGCGAGGCACCAGAGTGCAGTAATTGGAAATTTCCAGTGATTCAACAGAGTCATTCAAAGATGAGTATGTCCACTCGATAGCTATGCATTCAGTACCCCATTAACCCCCTGTCAGATACCAAAAAATAATCAGCTCCATTCCAAACCTATCAAGCTGTTGCCATATAGGTTATTTGTGCCAAATATAAATCACACTTATATGACAAATGTGCAAATGTGCTTTTTTTCTGCAGATGAGCCCTGCCTCAACCACTGCCATCACAGCCAAGAAATGGTAACTCATGCACAGACTCACCTGATATTTTGATTTTAAACGCAAAATTGCAGCATTTAATATAAAAATGCATGGATTCTTTAGGCAATGTGAGTAAAGGTACAACTATCACACACTGATGTCAGTAACAGACAATGATAACTATTTTAGTGACTTCATTTTATCATGAAATAACATCAACAACTGAGGAAAACAAAACAACCAAACAACTTAAGGTTGGATAAATTACACACTTATATAAACACTCTGACTGGGATGTAAAAGAATAATTTTGTCGCCTCTAGAAAACATATGAAGAAATGTCAGTTGTGAAAAATGTCATCTTTAAAAGGCAAATCTAAATGTCAGAGAGACAGATACTTTACACATAGAGAGCACTGCCTTCTGGGCGTAACACAGAAAGGCGTGAGAATAATATTTTTCCCAGTTGAAATGAACTGCAATTACCCGGCATCAAGCATACAAAGCAGTACACTCAAATTCACACTCACATAGCCTGGAGAGGAGCATGGTCACTGTTCGCAACATTACTCAGGATATCATAGAAAGAAACACACAAAAAATGTCACAGGGAAAAATAGAGACTTAACAATGTTACAATGTGCTGTATGCTACTGAGAGGTAATGAATTTATTTTCAGAAATTAGCTGAAATTATTAGCAAAATAATTGGCCACATAATTCAGCAAAAAATAACAAACTTTTAATTGTTCCATCTTTTCAAAAGGAAGGATTTGTTTTGGGATTTTGCTTTTTTCTTGTGTATAATATAGTAAACATCTTTGGGTTTTGGACATTTGGTCAGAAAAACAAAGCAATTTGGAGACCTTGCACTTTAGGAAATAGTTATGGGCATTTAAAATAAATTCTTTTGCATTCATATTCAGAAATGATATACATATGACAGTAAACCTAATTAAGCTTTATTTATTTATTTATTTATTTATCAATCTTTGTAGACAGGTATTTATTGATGTACAGTATTTATCAAACACTTAGATAAAAAAATATTTCCTATTAAGACATATTTTATGTTTTTTGTTATGACAACTGCGTTTACTATATTGTCAATCATTATCTGACATGTTGCTTTATACACCAGCCTCCACTTAAGGGTGCCCACAGGAGGAACTGACATATAAATTAATAAACACTTATATATGCTTACAACTACATTATAGTGTGTTATAAAACATTTATTAAATAGTGTTTATTAATGCTAAATTAGAGGGGAAAGTGTTATCAAATATATTTTACTCAAAATATATGGAAATCACTGCAGCTAATTGATTCCTCAAAGCTCACTGTACAGCTAAGATGTTTTGCAACATAACATTTGCAGTTTTGTCAGCTTAACTGGTGCCTAAGAACTGTTGCATGCGAGTGTGTGTAAATGTTTATTTCAGCATGCGTATGTTTGTGTAATCCCTATCTTGTTTATTTGTGCATGGGTGAGAGTTTGGCTTACGGCTATTGGCACGGGGTCACAACTCTTGTAAAGAAGAAAGCAGAGACAAAGCAAGAGTTGAAGCAAGCCCTGTTTAAGTCTAAATTTTGCATGCTGGTGAATGTCAGTTTCATGAATATAATAAAGCCTTCCTTGGTCCTCAGTTTGTTTTTACGTTTGTTAGCACTTCCCAGCAGGGGAAAGGAGTATGAGCAGAGGCCTGAGTGGGTGATTCAACCCCATTTTAATCATCAGCGGGGTATCTGTAGGTAAGTAGCAAAAGGAAGAGGAGGACGACCAAATGGAGGAAGGAGACAATTGAGGTCCAAGTAGAGATGAAGAGGTAGGAAAGCATCGCAAGGTGAAAAAGGCAAAGACTCATCTGATCTCTGTCCCTGCTGTCCCAGGTCATGTGTTTTTATATTAATGGTTGAGGTCATGTGTCAGGTCAGGGAGAGCTAATCTTAACTCCGTGGCTGGAGGGCACCTTCAACCCACAGGGCATTTAGGTATCTCTTCATCCCAACAGAGAACCACCGGGCTCTTCTCTTAGCATGCAAATGAGACAGGAACAAATGTCCTGTCACTTCTGGGGCTCAGTGTCCCAAAGTGCTTAACACTCTTCCTGTCAACCCCCCACTCCAGCTGCTCAAAAAACCCCTCCTGCACTTCCCTCATTCCTTTTTCCTCCCTCTTATGTTCTTTAAATGAGCTTTCCAACTCCACTTCTTTCTCGCAATTCAATTTTACAAGGCCATTATCCCGGGTGTAATGTGGAGGTTAAATATATCGGGGCAGACGTTATGTGAAAATAATTAGTGTTAATGAATAATGCACTCATTCAGCTGATGAAGGATGGTTGTCAGGGTAATGGAGTGCAAGGGAGGGGCCCCTCTGATAAATGAAATTAAAATATTTAAACACTGTTTTACGATATTACTGGGTCCTCACACTCTTTCTCTGTTACCTACTCACTACACGGAGCAGGCCGGCCTCTATGTGACATGACAGGTGTGCCATTACTCATGTACAGCATCTCTCTCACCAAAGACAGAGCCCAGATACAAGGAGGAAATATCCATGCACCACACTTTTTCAGTACCTTACACTGCAGCTAATCATCACTGCCCTGATAATCACTTTGAGGACATCAGAGACGCCAATTCTATCGACAGCCGTCTGCCAGACCATTTTCGTTCCCTTTATTTATTGCCACTGCGCTCATTCGGCCTCTTATGATCTCATTCTGCACCCATTGTGTGACAATGAAGAATGTAGGTTTTAAATCGCCCAGTTTACAGCACCCTCCCAGCCAATTGGCCTTCTCGAATCAATAATGGTGGTAGACCAAGCGCTCTGTGACTGAAATGGTAAAGCATCAACACCATTTGATTAGACATGATGGTTAGAGGGTAGAGGAAAGTGCCATTGGCAGGGGACAGATATTGCATGAGCTAATAATACATATTGCTCAGTGCTTCATTTGCAAACTCTCTATAGGGTTTGATGACACTTCTGATCACCCAATTTACTAAAAAGCATCCACTTCTTCTGACTTTAGCCATTCTAATACCAGTTTTGAGATAGGCTATGTCTCTGAGATTTCTGCCACCAGTCCAATACAATGTAAGTGCTCACAGCGCTAAAAATGATATTTAAAAAAGACTCAAATCGACAGCCTTGCTAGCAGCTCTGTGAGGCTGTACATAGGTACATCAGTAGAGTTAAATGTCAACATGTTAACATGCTCACATTGATAATGCTAACTTGCTCATGTTAAACAGGTATAATGTTTACTGTGTTCTTAATTTAGAATGCTAGCATTTGCTGATTAGCACTAAACACATTAAATCTGAGGC